ATCTGTAAAAGTATATGTTACAATTAGTGTGTGAAGCAGACTTACAAATTCCTTCCAAAATTGCTTCGCTTCCATGTAATTACAGCTAAGACTTTTTCCTTCAGTCCAATTATCACCAGTGTTATTTAAGTTCCTGATTGATTTACTCATATAATTTAACTGGTGGATTGCAAGCACCTTTTGATCACAGAAATGTTTATGGTCATAGTTATATTTCACACAAGAGTTACTAACTACTGTGGTATATTACTGGTGCTATGTGCTATTGATACCCTCTTGGCACACAGCATTACTCATTACTGGTCAAGAAGCTGAACCTTAATTTGTTTACCCAACAAGAGGCAACTTGCTCATATTTTTTCAGCAAATATGAAGTCACAGCACACCACAAATTATATTAATATATTTTCATTGGGGAGCAGACAGGCTAGTGTCTTAAATCTTCAATTAACTCTCCAATTTAATTACCTTGGTGCCAATTATGTGGTTATTTAAAAATCAGTGTAATACACTACTTGATGAAAGTTTGCTTTTAATTTTATTAAAGCATCTCTACTGATCAAGGTGCATTCAAAATTAAGAAAGCTCTTCTTTATTACTCAATGTAAATGCTTGATTTCACCATTACCAGCAGAAGCTCCAGGACAAAGTACAAGCTTACCAGGAGTGCTATTTCAATAAGGCACTCTAGTTAATAATGCTACCAACATGACTCTTTGGTTCAACCAGATTTAGAAAACTGAATATAATTCTGGTGACCCAATCTCAAAATAGTACTATAGATGGAAAAAGTCAACTTTGGGTACAATCCAGTGCATGTTTAGGTAGAAAACAATCTTACACAAGTCTTACTGCAATGCTGACTGGGGATCACTAGGAGTTCCAGGACATTTTCTTTGCACAGGATTGAACACTGCCACCCCTTCCTTATAAGTAAAAGCTAAAATTCTGAAAAAAACTACATGGACACTGATAATATACTAATGATGTGGAAAAAATAGTCTCTTCTCCCTATTATACAAAAGCTCAGGCCCACCCAATAGAGTGAATGGGTAAACTTAGAGGAAATGACTTATAGTAGACTATGATGGCCTATTTGTATTGCTTTTAAAATTACACAAATGCATGTACAGAAAAATTGATCTATCAGCTCTTTTAGTTATGAAATGAAAACTCCATGTTCAGGGTCAGTATTTGTGGAAAAAACAAGAGAAGGCTATCACTCTTCTTATCATAATGCCATGTTTGTGAACTTGCAGAAGTAAACTTGCTGTCTACTACTCTGGAGAGCGCATGGTAGGATAGATGGATCCTTTGTGTAATCTAGATAAGCAGTTTGTACATGGAGAAAAAGTAATTCTCCCCTGTGCTAACATCTCATGATTCAAGGCCTTATGGAATTCAGCTTCAGGACAGAACCTTTCCTATTTCTATTTGGTCACTGCCCAAAGAACATCAGCTATTGAACACCATATAAATTAATCAAATGATTAAATATTACTGAATAACTGAATGCTGAGTCTCTTCTCTGCAAATCTGATCCATGGACCCAATGGATCATACCAGTTTATCTTGATTTTTCTAGGACTAAGCAGCCCAAATACTATCCATATACAGTTCTGAATGTCTAGAGCCAAATAAATTTCTCCTATCCAACTAGCCATGCCAACAGTAGAGATGTGAAGATCCAGAAAAAATAGAGAAATTCAGAGGGAACATCGTTTTTCCTCAACTCATTTTTAATTTTCCAATGGAAAATTTGAAACTTGGAAAAAAAACCTGGAAAAAACTCATGACATCTTTGTTAGAATTGAATGAAGTGCTCTTACATCAAGGTTTTACTTATTCACATAAAACTACAAAGCATTAGAAACTGGTAATACACTAAATATGTTTTAATGCTTAATATTGTGGCTATAAAAGAAAATGTATGTCTATGGTGTCAGAAAGATCATGAAGAATTTAAAGTTTCTACTTTCAACTTGCCATCCCCCCACTCTAGCTCCCCGATGGCTAACTCAGATACATGTGCTTAGCTGGCATAGAGTACATAAGTTTGCAGTTTTCTCTGCCTCTTTCTCCCCTCAGTATTGAGTATATTCACAATTTACTTGTACAAACAAACAGTTCTATCCTATGGCCATTAAATAGCATCTGGCCAGTCACAGGATTAGTGGGAGTCTCAGCTCTGACCTTGGAAACTCACTCCAATACTGAAGCTGGAATTCTGAGCTCAGAGCACTTACAGCAGAACTGTGGTGGCTGCTTCTCCAGACCCACAAATGACCTTGCAGAAGGTGCTGAGTGCACATTCCAGGGGATGGGAAGAGGAGGAGGAGACAGGAGCTGCCATGATACAAGAAATCCTGACAACATCTTGGCTGCCTTTCATTCCTCTGCAAGTCATGCCATTTGCAGAGTAGGAGGAGCTCAGAGGCAACCTTCACTTTCACTCTTTCCACCCAGCACAGGATACCTGCAATTCTTTGAGTACAGAGCATTACAAGTATCCAGAATGGAATGGTCCCCAAAGACATTTTATACTATTGAGATGCAACAAAATACACATTTATCTGTGAAAGATCTCTACTAAATGCATAATCCTATGGATATTTAGGCAGAAGAAAATTCCTACAGCTCTAACCATGGGGCTGTACACTCTTTTCCTGTCTATGCATCCAGAGGATTACACCCTAAATAGAGTAGATCACTTCCGAGTAAACATGCATAAAAATATTTTATGTAAGCTGTCATAGAAGAGTTTTAGAAGACAGTCTAAAGAGATTTGTTTCATCTTTTAAACTTTTGTTAACCACTGCTATTAGGTGAGATAAAAATGAAATAAATAAGCATTTTTGAATTGTTAAAGCAATGCAGTAACTTTTGGATTGGTAAGTATTGTACATATAAATTCTTCCATGACTTTAAAATTTCTGGACATTTTACATTGCTAATGACCAGGAAAATAATTTAAATCAAATTGTCAACAGCTTAAAGTCTGTTTTCACTCCACAAAGCAAATTTATTGGTAAAATTTGAAAAGGACAAATTTTAATCCAGGTGTTATTGAGCTATGTTTCAGTTTCACTTCAAAGAATTTCCCCCCACCCCCAAATGTGTGTACAAGAGACATCCCACAATTTCAAGTTACAGCTGGATTTTGTATGTAATATTTTGGCCCTGCTCAAGCATTGACACCTTACAACTGAAGCCTTTATCATCGGATAGTGTTGACTAGCATAAAGTCTGGACACCCACAATGTTATGTCACTCAATCTAAATAGAACTTTAAACATTTGCTGTAATGCAGTTCAGTATGTGTGACATGTCATTATATGGTTACATGGACAAAGCAGCTTCAGCCTGGAAAACTATGCAAACCACTTGTAGTTAGTAAAGCTTTTTTTTAACCTACATACCACATAAATAAGCAGTGTTTATATAGTTCTGCTTATTGTCCACCTAAGAGAATATAAAGCATAGACAGGATTAATCTGTGTTCTAGTATTCCACCAAAATAATTATGAAGTTGACAAACTGGTCTCTAAAGGACATTTGAAAGAATTTATTGGGCTTCTGTACTTCAACTTAGGTCCAGATGTTCATCAGTGAATATTCTGTTACAGATACCCACACATATTACACCAATCATTTCCAAATGTTGGACTGAGACTTACTAGTGCAGCTCAGGATGTTAGGGATATGTCAACCAGCAGGAATAGGAATAATGCAGTATAAGGGGGCTTCACTTAAACATAAGCTTATTGATTCAAGGAGTGGCTCCTTATTCCAGTATGCGAGACAAATGGAAGCCCCCTACTGGTATAAAATGCCAAGAAGAGAATATGAGTTGCCTGGGATCAGAATGCTTAGCCACAGCAGGAGAGATGGAGAGCCTTAAGAATGGGAGATTAATCTTGCTAAAACAAAACAAACTAAAGTGCCCCATTTTGTATGACCAATTATTCCTGTGGGCACAGATCATTCATTCTCTTCGCAGTATGCACTGAGAATATTTCACTGCCTTTATGGAATGACAAAGAAAATGATGCTACAGTCAGTTCACATACTATTATTAAAATGATTACAGCAGGATCCCCATATCCATGGGGATCCGTTCCAAGCCCCTCCACTCCACAAATGCCTGCAACCACAGATAATAGCAAACACTATATACTGTACACACACACTTCTTTTTTCACAATTTTACAAGATTTGTTCTTACCATTCATTTTAGCAACCTCGACATATATTTTTCCCCTATTAAATCAAGAATTTTCACATAAAACTGAGGATAACTGCAGTTAAATGAAAATGTAGTAACTGAACCAGTGGACATGGGAGTCCTCGTGTATATTTAAACCAGAAATTGTATAAAATTATCTCTCCAAATCTGTACACAGTACACCATTTTATTTGCAAGACTAATTATCAATAAGGCAGAAGTTATAGCTTTACTAGAGAATATGGTTAAAACTATACTTGTAATTTATTTCCCTGCTTTTTATCTATTTATACAATATCTTGTTCTTCCACACAAGGAGCCCAGGCTAGCTAGATCCAACTCTACAGAAACCGAGTTCTCTCATTTTTATAGATCAAGCAAAACATTATATCCTATACTGAATATGCATTTCAATCAAGATTCCCTCTACATGATATTTACATTTCTTTCCAAAGGGTCCTAGCTTGAACATTGTAGAAATGAATGCCCTCATCAAAGCATGAATGCTTGTCTGTTGGAAATAAGACTTAACACCTTCTCACTTTAATTCATATGTAACTTGTTTACAAACTTCAACAAGACTAACCTGTATATTGTACCAGTCTTGCTTCAACCAGATCATCATTTATGCAAACTCAGTTTAACAGAAATGTATACAGTAGATTTGTATATCGAACGGTACCAGATTTTAACACAGCTGATAGCTTTACAAGTGCTGCCATCAGCTTGAACCCACACTATTCACCCCAAATACTGATATTTTTTTTTGACTCACGTAAAAGCAAAGAAGAGAGTGGTGGCTCCTACTAGGAAGATGGCTGCAGCTGATACTGGGACATATTTGCTGGGTTTGAATCTCTTTCCAGATGCTGCTGGCATGTTGGAGCTCTGGTGGATGATCCGCCCTGCAGCATAGCCCAGGCCCAATTGGAGTCAGAATGGACAAGAAAATGGGGAGAGGGACCTTCAAAAAGGAAGCAACTATAGAAGGAGAGAGGTTTAAGCAACTGTCCAGTTTTTAGCTGTTAAAAGACAGCTGATTTATAGTATGATTAGTATGAATAATGAATCAGGTTTGTATTCACAACTGAAACAAATGTCAAAATGACAGTCAGGGGAATTGGATATCTATTCCCAAGGCTCTTCAGGGGCAAAAATTGAAAAATATAAAATAGAAGCTTGTATTCCAATTACAATTGTAGCAACTGAGAAGAGTTAGCTGAAATTATGCAGATTCTTTGGAGGCTTTAGAAAAAAAATACAATCCTTCAAGTAGTGTTCAAGATGGTCCTCTTCTGAAGGTGGCACAAATAGTTGAGAGATGTAGCACTGCAGTAGCTGAACTCAAAATTTTAGTGCAAGAGGGCAGGATGAGCACTCCAGGGATGATGATCAATAAGAAACAAGGTCTCCCCTAGGTTTTGGTGTTGTTTAATGTTTTATTTTCAGAAAGTCCACAGTAATTTCCAAGGCAGACTCTGAGGTAAAGTTTCTCCTTTTTAATCTGCTCTTAGTATAAAACAGTGCATTCTGGGTGTTCCTCAGGGAAAGGTTATTCTGCTTACAAACCTGCCAGCCTTACGCACATTTGTTTCTTCAACCCCACCAAAGTTGTCTTCTCCTAAAGCAAGAGCACTCTTCCCTGGTTTCATCAGAAATTGGGGCTGTATGTCTGGCAGTTTGTTTAATTTTGTTTATTTCTCTGCTGACTGCTAAATCCGGGTAACAGCTGGTACACGGTTGAGCTGTAAATCCTTTTCTTTCAAGGGGGAGTGGGGGACATGTTGGAGGACTAGTCTTATTTGTGCTCTTGTATACAATGCACTAAATCCTTCAAGTCTAGCTTCATTTCATGTTTTATTTTTGAAGAGAAAATTTATTTTCACGTTGGTGCTTTAATGATAAATCACCTGTACCCAGAATAGATCCAGACAGAGAAACTCTGTTTTCAAATGATGCTTCTTAAAAATCTAAAATGTAATCAACAATTTAAAAAACTATCTTGGCTGTTCACAAACATGTCCTAGAGTACTTCATCTGTTCCATTGTCATTCTCCCGTAACACAAGAAAAAATAATCCTTAATTGTCCATACTTGCTTTATTAGTTAACTTTATTAAAAAGTGTGCCATCTTGAGCTTCACCCTTTACCTAGAAAAGATAAAGATAAAGTTACTTTCCAACAGTAATTTTTAAAGAATATTCAAGAGAAAGCATGGATTAGTAATGAAACTTTAGCACAGATCTGTGAATAAAAGAACAGTGCTACTCCCAATTAAAAACCCATAAATATTGCTAGCAGTTGTCTGAGTTTCTACATTCATAAGCTTAGGACAATTCTGTCCTTATGAGTCATGTCATATTTAGTGCAAGCAGCAGCACACATTTTGCACTCAAAGAACTTCAAACATCTAGTAACCCCTCTACAGTTTGGATTATCTCAGTCTTAAAAACAAACTCAAACATTAGATTTCTTCGTTTTATTCTACATGCAATCACAGCCAGGTAGATCTATGAAATGACTACACCTTGAAAGAAAATGCATATTAATTCAGCAAACTTACTGTTCTGATAGAATTATGTAATACCCTGTCAAAATGTCAAGGAACAAGCTACCCATTCAAAGAGAAACCAAAGGGAAACATGAAAGTTGATATCTCAGAAAGACAGCAAATTCAAACAGCATGACACCCACCCTATGAACAAGCTACTCAATGTTGGCTGTTCACCCAATCCACAAGTGCACCTCCACAGACTACCAGGAATACTATGGGTTGTTCTCCCCATCCCTGTCATCTCAGTCCTTCATCTAGCATCCTAGAGTCCTGCACAGAAGAACCTTATATGCCTGCCCTTGCCTGTACCAAACATGATCCTATTTTTGTTCATGGTTGTTGTTGAAGCCCCATACCACAGCTGATACATCAATGTCCAACTGACACCTTAGAGCAACTATCACTGACTTGTTGCCCTTTTTGGGGGATTGTACAATTGAGTTCCTATTTTTTTCCAATCTTTGGCTGGTACACACTTACAGCTGCCCACTCTTGCATGGCCAAGGGCCTGATAACTGTTTGCTGTCAACATGCAGTAGGCGATGCCTATGGGCATATAGATCAAGGCTAATATACATCAAGGCTACATATAGCTTACTTTGTGCATACTTAATAGATCTTAATTGGTTGTGTCAATTTTTAATTGAAAAGCAAAGTTGCAAAGGAATTTTGCCCTGAAAGGAGGTGGCAAGTCTTATCTTCCACTTAGTAGTGAGATTCTCCAGTTTTTAAGTATTGCCTGACAGCTCTCAGTGCCCTCCACATTTTCAACACTTTTGAACTTCTAGATACTCTAGAAAGAAGAAAATCTACCTCTTTCTTGTGAGCCCTCACTCTGTACTTTTTAACCTTTATTTTTTTAACCTTAAAAAAATCAATGGAAAATTTGAGCATTCTGTGGACAAGAAAATATACATGCAAATATTTAGGCTTTCCTCAAATAACCAATTCTCAAACAACTCCTGTCACCTGGGTTCACACAACATGGAAATCCTGAGCAATCATGGAAGCCATGGATGTAATATAAAAATGGTGCATATGGCATCTGGCACAAAACAGCCCTGGGGGGTATATTAATCTATGATAGGGCTGCTTTTCTGTGTACACCAGGTCACTGTAAAAATTATAATGTATGATAATATCAAACTGCAAAGTTCCCAAGCTGGCTTGCAAAGATTTTCAGTGCTCTTTCTGTAGATGCAACTCCCTTTCAATTGGCTGACAACTGAACAGTACTCCAGGGCAGAGGTCCCTAACCTTTTTAGACCAAAAGGCACCATTTGGAAATTTGAGAAACTGCTGTGGGCTTTACTACAAAATAGCTCCCAAGCCTATTTAGTTAGTCACATAATGGCTGCCATGGGGGCCTGACTAGTTAAAAGTGGGCTAAAGAGGTGGAGGTTAAGAAATAGTAAAGCCAGAAGTGGAAAAGCATTGCAAAAGAGCAGGAGCAAAAGAGCAAGGATGGAGACTAAAAAGGCAGCAAAAAAAAAAGCAACCCTAACATTTTACATGAATTTTTTTAAAAAGTCTTCTGGAAATAGAGGGCTTCATGGGCGCTTCTGGAAATGTCTAGTGTTGTCACATTGTCTAGCTGCAACTACTCAGATTAATATAAAGATATCCACCTAGATCCTGCAGTAAGTGAACAGAAGCAAGCTCACAGAAGTTAAGTTTTTATTACTCTCCCACACCCAACCACTTACTGTCCCAAGAGCTTCTCTATGAGGACACAGGGCCTCCCGAACTAAGCAAGATAGAGTAGAGAAGCCGCCAGGGAAGATCTAAAATTTGAAGGTGACTGACAGATTTGGGAGATACCCCCAACACCATGAATCTCCCACACTGGTTAGGACAGGCACTCAACTCTAAGGTAAGGTTTTCTGAGGCAAAGGGAACTACTGAGGTGCAAAAGAGAGAGAAAGCTCTCTGTCAATTTCATTAACTTTTAAGATTCAAGCCACTACCACCTGTTTCATTTTCCCAGTACTTCAATGAATCATTGTCAGAATATGCTGCCTGGGTTTATCCAACAAGATTATGCACACTCAAGTTTGAGTATGTATGTGAATTATGTTGTCTGAACCCAACCACAGTATCACACCATGGCTTGGTAACTATGAACAACCAATGGCAAGAACCTATGGTTTCTTACTGGATTGTGAACCACGAATGAGTTTACATGGCAACTATAATCCATCTTGGGTAAGTAGCTATAACGGACTGCCATGTTGTGCAAACCTGGACTGCTTCTCACAACTTAGCTTGTTTGGGAGTAGCAAGCTGCCCTGACAACCAATGGCTGGTTCAGGGATCATTCAACCTACAATGTCTAAACCAAGGCAAGCACCCTCCATCATAGGTTGTGGGAATCAGCATGCATGTTGCTACTACTGAGGTGACATATTTGTCACCTACTTTCACAAGATATATCTTTTCATGGCTTTGATTTAGCTTGACAACTTGATGCTTGACAGCTCTCAAGTGAGGAGCAAAGTAACAAATAACACAAGTGAAGCATTGCTTGCTTAATATCTATGGCTAGTATCTACTGCACTTTGACAGCAGGCACTTACCACAACATTGACCAAAATAAAAAGTCTTGCCTGCTCAATCACCAGTGCACACTAGGGGCATTCTAACTAAAAATTAAAGTACAGAAAAGTATTTGTGGACATGTTTAACATGTCTAACACCTAAAGTAAAATATAGGTGAACCAGTGAAGGCTATTTCCATATGCCACATGGGCACACTAAAGCTGTCAGCAGTTGCCTCTGATAGTGATCATGAAAAGATCATGAAAGGGAAAAATGGAAACTGGAAAGGGGTCATGGGTGGAGCAGGAAGAGGAGAGAAGGCTGGAGGAGAGGACAGTCTTAATCTGGTGCCCAAAAATGAAAATGGGGGGTCATTTTTGGAAGGTCTCATTGAGGAGATCACCTTGCCTGCACTTGTACTGAATTTCATCAGCTTTCAGTTATTTGTTCTGCATGTATTTTTCAGTCTCTGTTGGATTTCACCACCCTGAACATCTCCAGTTAAATAGCACAGGACTAAGTGCTGATCCTTGCAGGTCTCATTTCCAATAACTTTTCACATGCTCCTATGCTTCCTGTTTAACCAGTTAGCAATCCATAGGAAACCTGGAAGAGCCTTTAGTGAGGAAATTTGTCAAATTTGTCAAACTCTTTTGAAAACTGATGGGTTGGATCCAAAAGTTATAATTACTGTAGACTCACTGCAATCAGTATGACTTAAGTTAGTTCTGACTAATTTAATTCCCATTAATTTCAGGTGTCTACTCTAAATATAACTACACCTGGCTCCAGCCATATGGCTTGGATCCAACTCTGGATCCTTCCTTATGTGAAGATAACTGATCCGGTGGAAGCTCTGGCTAGAAGGAGAGATGCTAGTTTCACTAATGTTTTTTGCACCACCTCCTACCCTGCTCTACAACCTTATAGGGGCTGAGCAGACTGAGCAGTCAGAAAAAAACTAAGCTGAACTGAATTCTTGCTCAAACTGACCCAAACTCGAAGCTCTATTCAGCCATCATGCCTCCTGCTCTAACACGGCTACCAATATGACCCTTGGCCCTTCACTCTGGTCTTTTATTATTTTCATAAAATCAAAGTACTCTCATCATTTTTGTAATTCTCCCTAATCCAACTTCAAGAACCTGTTCCACAATTCTCCCCAAACTATTCTGGACAAAAGTCTGTCCCATTCCTAGTATTCTCTCTCTTCAGTGAACTCAGTTCCCAGTACATTACCCAAGGCAAAGCCTTTTCCTAAAGCTATTGCTTGTACCCAGTCCTAATCATTTGTCAGCAGAAGTGAAATTGCTGGCAGAATGACTGGGGGACCATCCAGAGTAGATATGGATCATGGGCAAGGTATATAAGGGGAGCAGAACGAGGAAAAATACTTTTGTACAAGTGAACAGTTGCCTTAGGTAAAAAAGGACATTACAGAGTTGGAAAAAGTGCAGAGAACGGCAGCAAAATGATGAAGGAGCAGGAGGAACTTCCCTATGAGGAGTCTATAACTTTAAGATAGCAGTTCCCAGCATTTGATGACTGTGTGTACATTTGGAAATTTGAGAAACTGTTGTGGACACCACCACAAATGATGTCACAGAGCCCATGGGTGCCACATTATGTTTTGGGTTTTAGGTGCCACAAGACTATACTTTTATTAGTGATCTAGTCTCTTAAGTGACTCATTACAGCAACATCTTCAAGTCCAAGTCCATATACAGATTTTCTCCTCACTCCATTGTGCCTTTTCATATTCCATCACATAGCTATACAATTAATGTTCTTAGGCAAGATGACGAGTCTGCTGGTGTACCACCCACCCACTACCTAACAGTCTCCCTACCTTAGCTCACAGAAGTAGTCTCAAAGATTATATTTAAAACCAGAAGATTTGGGGAACTTTAACATCTATCCTGAGCCTGCCTTACATGGACTAACTCAAGACTTCATGGCTGCCATAACAACCGTGGATCTACCTCAAATAGTATCTGACCCAACACATATGACAACACACATTGGATTTGGTCATATGTATGGGAATGGAGGAGTCTACTTTGAATCATTTATGATCAATATGAGGTGAAGCTTGGATTGCAAGCTGCTTCTACCCTTTGCAGTGGCAGGGATCCAATTCTGTCTGTCCTCAGTAACTCAGGGGCCTGGATAGTTTCCTGATTCCACTTACAGAGTCTCCCACAAAATTGAATGGTGGTCCTGCCAACGACCTGCTTAATTCATAGAATCAGAAGATGAGTAGGGCATAGATACCAGCAGTTCTATATGTCCACAGTCATGAGTCACTGGGGTACAGTGGTTACAAGTGGGATTCAGGAGTTTTGGGTTCTAGTCGCCAATCAGCTATGCAACTACCTGGATGACTTTGGGCCAGTCACAGACTCTCAGTCCTAAAGACTCAGAGTCAGTTCTATCTATTTCACAGGGTTCTTGTGAGGATAACATTGAGAGAAGAATACATAAGATGCCTTGAGTTCCTTGAAAGGAAAAAAGGCAGGATATAAATATAATATAATAAAATAAACAAGCAAGCCTACAGACTTGTACCAGCTCCCTGGTATTCTGATAAACTGAGAGTGGTAAATCAGCAAACTCAATGTCTAGAGTGCAAGAGGTATAAGATCAAAGCAAACAGATTAGAGTTTACTTTAAGGTCTACTCCTAGGCTTTGACAGCAGTCAAATAACTTATTTCTACACTTATTTCTATCATTGCATCTGTACAATGCCAGCAAATGGAGTTGTTTTAGGGGGAAGTGAGCCTACTACGTACAGGCCCAATCAGTCAGCTGCTGGAATCTATGAAGGCATGTTGTAATCCAATGTTAATTCAAATTGTTGATAATATATTCCTATTCTTGCCAACTTAAGATGCCACAGTTTTGACAGAATCAGAGATACAGTCGTGGAACCCTGTGGTGTTTTTATGGATATTTCCCCTACTTGTATCACCTGAAGATGTTGACAAGCAGCTTGGAAGACTGAGGACTACCACTTGTTTAGATCCTTGTTCCTCCTGGCTAGTAAATGTGGCAGCTCAAACACCTGTGGAAATTAGGCTCTTGGACCAGATTGCTCCTATTCTCTGTACGTTACCACTGACTGCCTGATACTTTTTAGGTTCATTTCTAAGCATTTGCTTTGGCCTTTATTTATGTAATACTTTATTTGAAGAACCACCTACACTTGCACCAGTCTGCTCAATAATTAAGATCAGCACCAAAGGCTCTACTCCAAGGGTCCTCAAACTTTTTGACCAACGGGCCAGTTCAAAGCTGCTGGCACTGGGCACAGGCCAGAAAGGTGGTGTCTGGTTGTGCACACGGGCCGGCAAGGGGGCATGGGGTGAGGCATGGGCAGGCACACGTGAGGGGAGGCAAGGTGGGGGCGGGCACGTGCCGTGAGGCAGGCACACAAGGTAGCGGCTTGGTCGCTTGGAGATCATTTTCTCCAAGCAAGCAAACCGCTGCCTCCCGCGCACGGGGTAAGATGGGTGCAACAGGCGTGTGTGTGGATTGTGCGCAGCAGGTCCAAATGCCCCCCGGGCCGTAGTTTGATGACCCATGCTCTACTTTCTAGACCACCGGCAACAGCAATTTGGCCAGCTTTCCCCAACCTGATGCCCTCCAAATGCCCGCCGTTCAGCCTCAGCCTGCATGGGTAATGATCAGGAATTCAGGAAATACAGTCCAAAAACAGCTAAAGGATACCAGGTTAGAACTGAATGGATTAGGCTGACAGGTACTTGAAACAGAATTCTCAGTGGTGGCTCCACGCCTTTGGAACTCACGCCCCATGAGGCTATGTATGGACACATCACTAGTAACTTTTAAAAATTTCTGACAATACATATCTTCTAGTTTTCATTTCATGCTTTAAAAGCATAAGCTGATGATGAGTGTATTTAACAGTAATATTGTAAGCAGCCGTATGAGGACTGTGCACCCAGTAAAACGGGTTAACAATCTTTTAAATGAACAGAGGGAGGACCACATTTCACTCTTTTTAAATCAAAGCTTGTAGGCATATCCTTTAAAATCTCACTTCTACTATTGCTTTTGAATTTCAGTTTCCTTCTGTGTTTTCTATCACTGTTTGAAATGTTCTCTGAAATCCTCTTCTAGTATGGATCCTTGCTTGAACAGCTATTAACTAGCTCTTCTCTTTTCTTATCTACAGGGCATGGCAAGGTTCTCCTTATACAGTGTAAAATCTTCTGCAGCAAAAATCAGCTTATCATCAAATACCCTTATGAAGTCTGCCCTGTTTGCTAAATAAAACAGGTTCTCCTAACAACTGGTAAGTATGTGAGAAGCATATACAACCGTAACTCAATAATGTGATTTACACTTTCCCTGGCAAAACACATTTAAGGATCTCTACCCCACTGTACTAGCTGATTAGCAAAACTTTATCAATTTTACCTCTAGTTAGATGTAATTAATGTTAATGTTTAATGCTTCTTTTACATTTGAATTGTACCATATCTGGATGCCCAAGCATTTAAAGTTGTTTAGAAGTTATGCTGTAAATCATGCAGGGCAGTTTGGCCATAGAGGATATAGAAATAAAATATAGCGCACTCTTCTAGTATATCTAGCTTACAAATACAAGCTATATAGATATAACATCTTAAGCATGAATACAATAAATATCTGAGAGAGAAAAAATGTCTTGGCTGACAGTAAGAACACCTGACACTAGGAAGGCCTCTGGGAAAGAAATAGCACAAGCATGGTAGTAAAGAGGATCTCTTTGACTGCTACACACCTTACCCTCAGAAGATGGGGAAATCTGGAGTAGATAATCTTGATGCACAAACAGGTTGGTTTAGGAGCAAGTGTTCCTTCACATACTTGGTTCCTACACCATATAGAGCCTGAAAGGTTGAGCCCCAACATTTTGAATTCTCCTTGGAAACTGACTAGAAACCAGTAAAGTTATTTCTGTACTGGTGAGATGTTCCCACTAACTGGTGAGATGTTCCCAGTCAACAGACTAGCTGTTGTATTTTGCATTGCTGCAGGTTCCAGCCACCCTTCAAAGGAAAGCCCCATATACAAGGCATAACAGTAGTCAATTCTGGCTTTATCAGAGGATTGGTAACTGAGATATTTTCAGAGTTGCATAGCAGACCACTATTCTTCAGTGTTGTGATCAGCTAGTGACACTGCATTGGTCACATATATCTAAGTTTCCTCCAGTTATGTTAACTGCTGGGCAAGAAATATCAATATAGAAGTAAGGCATACCCTCCTGAAAAATTCCTAGAGTTAATGGTGTTCCCTTTTCCTTTATAGGCTAACAAACTGAGAAACAGGATAGACTGGCAAAGGTCATGTATAAACTATAATGGACAAGTTTCAGTAAAAGAAAGTGTCAGGTAATTAATCTAAGTATGCTGACTTATTGCTCCTTAGTATCTCTGCTTCCAACCACACATTTCCAAAGGCTTCGGAGAGTGTTATGATCATGAGACTAAGTAAAGTTATTGTCGTTTTATAGATGAAGGCTATGGTCACACACTCAATACTGACACAAAGCTCAAGATCTAAACCCAACTTATTTTCAAACCTAGTTTAGTCCTTACTCCTCATAAACTACCACTACATACATCCAGGCCTGACCCACAACTATAATCGCAGCGCTATTTGTAGGCACAAGCTAAACAGCAACCTTAAGTAAGCTACCACCATGTCAAGTGGCACCCTTTCATGAAAACGAATTGGTGGGTGGGAAGAGGTTATTAGCGGCGAAGTTCGGAGAAATTAACTTATCCACTCCCAAGTATTAGTATTGTCGGCTGCACAAGCTGTTACTGACATTAAAGCCAAAAGGAAAAAAGTCTTTGTAAGCGGAAAAGACGAAGCAGTGGTAGTCGTAGGCAGCGTTGGAACCCATTCAGGGTGCCACCAAGGGAGGGAGAGCAGGGGCGGCGGGTGCCACAGACAGGAGAAGGGCCCTGAGGGGTGGAGGGGAAGGCAGAAGTTACCCTCACGGCCCGTTCACGACAAGAAAAGATTTGAGTGGGAGGAAAAGAAAGAAGACAGATGAGAAACGCACAATGTAGCTACTTTCCTTCCTCTTCCCTCTTTCTTTACTACCCCGAGAAAGGACAGGCAACCGTTAGGCCCACGGATCCTTCACCCTGTGGTTGGGGAACCCCCCTCCACGCCCGCTTCGTCCTTAGGCGGAGATAAACCGCTCCCGCTGCTCGCACCTTTCACCCCTGACCGGCCGCGCCTGGCACTCACCCGCCAACACCGCTCCTTGTGCCGCCGCACCTTGCTCCCGCCCCGGGAGGAACCGAACTCGGTCGCTCGCACGGCCCAAGCAATAAGAAGCAGCACCAGCGAGGAAACCTGGGCGCGCACGCGCGTTCTCAAAGCCGTTCGGGCTCGCGACAGGACTCGCCGGTTGGTCAGGTCGCCGCCCGCCGGCGCGCGCACTCGCGCGATCACTCGCCACCCCTCCTCTTCCTTTCCTCGCGGTCATGCGCAAGAAACGATAGGCTGAAAGGGGAAAACGATTAGTTTGCGTAAAAGGGGCGGGGTCTCGCGTCGGCAAATCGTGATTGAAGGAAGAGGAGCGCAGAAGCAATAGCAACAGCAGCAGGCTTTCCTTATGCGCATGTGCATACACAGCTTCATCTTCTGAGAGGGGCAGGGACGGAAGTGTAGAACGAGCATGCGTAAACTGTTTGCCATTATGAAGATCCGTATTTGCTTTCCTATTTCCAATACCTTATTAGGGCGATCGGGCTACGACAGAAGAACTTGATATTCTTTGTCTGGTCATTTGTTAGCCTTCAGTCAGCTTAATAAAACTATAGTGTCATTTATTTAACACAAAGGTACTCAGTTAAAATTCCAGTGCATTTTGTAAAAAAGTTGGGAAATAACATACAGCATGCATGATGCTCTTGTACTTACCATTTTAAAATTCGTTTCTGGATATTTGCAGAAGTGACTTTAAAAATAATACAAGAGTTGAATGAGTCTATTTTAATGTAAGTTAATTGAAAATACGTATTTTAAAGATTAAAAATGTACTGTTTAAAATGTGCTGAGCACAGCCATGTTTACATAATCACATATTTAAACACAGCAGAAGGGAGATGGACCACCAGGGCTGGAGCCCTAACTCTGAGAGGCCATCCTTCTGCCCACGGCCATGTGCTGAAACAGAAGTACAAAGGCCCTGATGATTTGTTTTCCATTTGATCACCTTGGATCACTCTGTTACATCTGATCACATGTGCTGACTCCATCTCTCTGAATCTGTTTCTGAAATCAACTGCCTTCCTCCTATCCCCCATTTATACATCATGTTTTGTTAATGGGGTGTCCTTAAGAGACAGTGTCCTTTAAACAGACTTTGGCACACATGTAAACTGCAAATCTGTTCGAAGGGCATGAGCTGAAACCTTTTTAATACCTAGCACTGCCCCTGATTTTATGGGCTATTTTATAAAAAGACCATTGCCAGTACATATAAAATGTGCACATGTTCTGATGATATTCCTTTGATTTTCTGGATTGTGTATCTTAAGAAGTAAATACATTATTACAGCTTATAAGTTCTGTTGTATTAAAATTAGTGGGAAAGATGCTACTTACTTCATGCCTCAAATAAACAGTCATATTCTATCTACAGTTGTGAAGCAAGCTCTCTTTCCTTGTGAGAACTGTGAAGATTAATTTGTATTTATTCCAAAATAACTGAATGTTACTTTTGATAAAATTGCACTCTGGATAAAATTCATTTGGAGGCTTGGAATGCAAGAGAGACATATGGTCAAGGAAACGATTGTCCAAACGTTAAGACAGCATTGCTATGTTTTATTAAATGTGTCACTTTCCACTGCAAAACGCAATTTCAAAATTACTTATATGCACAAATACAGAAATTCATGAGTAATAGGAAAAATGCAACAGTATAATCCATAATAAAAAATACCATAAAACAATCTAAAAACAATCATTATGAAAAGTGTGTTCCTACAAGACTCAAACTCTCTAACTTAGCCCAGCTGAAATAATTATTTCTCTCTCTTTGCTCCACATCCCTTTTTCCTTGTGTGGTGAGTCTTTTTAGATTGTGCAGTCAGTGACTGCCTTATTTAACTGATTTAGAGCTCTCTTAGCTGAGCAGTGGAATAAAGATATTTCAAATAAGTAACTTCATCCTAAGAAGACTGCAGTAGTTGAAGTGGGAAAGGGTCTGGGCAGAGTATGTTCCTGCAGATACATGGGTCACTGGACATTTATTGGGCAATTTCAAGGCCTTTGTGTGACACTGCATATTTTACATGAACAGCAAATGCTGTGAGTGAATTTATTTGACTGCGTTAAAATCTGTTGCAAAGCATACAGGAGCAAAATGCAACTTAGTATGCTCTATAGCAGTGGTGGCGAACCTATGGCACACGTGCCACAGCGGGCACACAGAGCCCTCTCTGTTGGCACACAAGCCAAGTCACCCCAACATCACCCCAGCAGCTGAGCATCGGATAACAGCGTACATAGGAGCCATGCGCATGCTCGGAAAGGAGTAACAGTGTCAGGCAATGACGTCACAAGCCACATCTCATTAGCTGCAACTTGTCCTAGCTTTCGCATGGCCGGTCAGTGTGCTGCCAAGGATATATATATATATTTGCTTGGACTGGCTGTGAATTGTTTTTTCTAAACTAAAACCTCAGTATTCAGGTTTTATTGCAATGTTGGCACTTTGCGATAAATAAGTGGGTTTTGGGTTGCAGTTTGGGCACTGGGTCTCTAGAAGGTTCGCCATCACTGCTCTATAGCATGTTTTGTAGAGAAATTGTGCTGGAGGGAGATAATGGCATCAGTAAAATAAACAAACAATTACATTCCAGGTTCATATGATTGCTTACAAACGAAACATGGTAAGACTCATAGCGTAGTTGTCAGCCATCACTTTATCACTTTCCCCTGTGGTGCATTACTTCACAGGAACTAAGAAGTCCAGACATATGCCTAGGTTGGCAGCAATTTAAGCAGCAGGAGTTAACAGAGATTTAACTAGGACTCAGCATTTTCAGCTTCTAAAATTGCTGTTAGCTTTTTCTACAACGAAGATGGGGAAGCCCTTCTAAAAGCCATGAATAAGCACGTGGCAATTTCAAAAGAAGCAGGTAGCAACTGTGGTTGTAGTTCTACCTCTGCAGCAAGTGCTTTTCAGTTGCATTCTATTATACACCAATGAGGAGGGCCAGCCCATGACATTTTGCTATGGGAAGTGAAAGACAAGATCCCTACCACACCCCATCATTCAGTGCACAAAAGCTGACCAGATTAATAGTTGAATCTTTCTTTAGCACTGATGATGGAACAGCATTTGCCACCACACCTGAGCACAACAGGCGACAGAGGGTGCGAAACAGGACATACAAGTTGCACAGTTCTGTCCTTCAACACCTCATGCCATTTGCTCTTCCACCAGTCCTACTTGTGGGTCGCTCAGATAAATGCTGCAATGCACCAGTGGCAGCACCCTGCCTTGTGAGCAGAGCAATGCATCTGAGTTTGTATACATGATGCTTGCTGGAGTGCCTGGCATAACCTAGCTCCTCCCCTGCCCTCTTGGTAGGTTGGGGCCTTTGTCAGTGGCATTGTGTGTGATACGTTGGGAGAAGATGACTATATAAGATAAACAAACAGCCCACAGTGCCAGTTCACAGCCACAGTGGCAGTTAATTTAATTTTAATTTAATTTAATTTAAACATTTCTATGCTGTCCTTTGCAACAAGCCTCATGGCGGCTTACAGAAGATAAAATAACAATATAAAATACCATTAAAACATTCTACAATAATACAGCAAACTACAGTTCACAACCAAGTTAAGAAACAGAGTCAGGAGAAATTAGCACCTGCTGAAGGAGGAGGCATTTTAACCTCGCCTAATGGTAGGGTCGCTCCTTACTAAGCACGATTGCTGGTCTGGCAGTCCTGATCTGACAGTGGTGTAGAGTGTGGTAGAAGGACAACTTATTCTGGCCTCACTTCTCAGCCAGCAGACCAAGGGCCATGTGGAGGCTGAATCTCTACTTCCCAAGAAGACTATAGCAAGGGGAGAGTAACATGATCCCACAACAGCTGGGAGAAGCCTGTTTTGCCCTTCTTGGAAGCATAAGAGCTGAGACAAAGGATAGGCAGCTTGTGGCCCTCCAGATGTTTCAGCCTACCGGTTGCCACCTTTTGAGCTGAGATCAGCCTCATCCCAGCCTTCAGCTGGGGCAGGAGCTGCTGCTCTAACATGTGCATTCCTTTTTCATTTTGTATCCTGCTTATTAAATTGTGGAACAGTAAGTTTAGATATTCTTTTATTTCAATACAAGACTTAATACATGTTAAGCAGTTTATCTCTGTTAAATAATAATAAATAAGATCTTTGTATAACTAGTGATTTACATGCAGTTCTGTGCATCTTATGCTAGGGAAAGTCCAAGGCAGAAGGAGACAACCAAGACCAGTTATGCTGTTGTTACATGGCATCAACCTAAGTATGAGATGGATCAATTTCATAAAGGAAAGGATGTCTTTGAGTTTCCAAGAGGTAGGCAGGGCTGTCCAGGACAGGACATTTTAGAAGGCTTTCAATCATAGAGTCTCCATGAATTGACACCATGTAGCAACAATTGTTCAAAGTTCCAAGGTGTTTAGTGAATCTGATTCCCTGCAAAATGTGCATAGAATTGCAGTCTTACGACACGGTTCTATGCAGGCCTTCCCAAAAGCAAGCCCCACTGAAATCAGTGGGACATAATCCCAAGCAAGGGTCTTCAATAAAGTCTTTTCCATCCTGGTACCCTCCAAATGTCTGGATTTCCATCAGCTTCAGCCTGACAGGAGTCTAAGACATCTGGATGGCACCCAGTTGGGAAGGCTGGTCTAAATGATTGCTCCTGATAAAGCTATTTGTTAATGCTTTTATTGTGATAGTGACTATCTTGTTTCCTCCTCTATTTTCTTATGCTCCCTCTAATCACAGTTGTCTATTTAAAAAAAGTTCAAAATTGGCCTAATTTCTGACAAGAATATCTGGCAACTGCAATCCTTTTTAGAAAAATAATAAGAAAAACAAGTGATTTTTTGACCAGCTTTCTATGCCAATACTTAAAAAACTGATGAGAGGGAAACAATGCTGTATAGGAACAAATGCTGTAGCAGCAGTTAGTATTGACCCTTGTGAAAATGGATGGCAATTTAAAAAACAAAGAGACAAAACATCCCTTTGCATCTGCCACCTGAACTGTAATGTCATTCACATTTTACTTTTCCACTTACACATTCCAATTGTAAGAATGTATATCCTTTATAGCAGGGTTTTGGAAACCCTATTCAATCCAAAGGACAAATTCTGGTCTGGAAAGGGTCTCAGGTGCTGCATTCCATCTGTG